CCTCTGGACCTGCTCCAACAGCTCCATGTCCTTTTTATGTTGAGGACACCAGAACTGGACACAATACTCAAAGTGATGTCTCACAAGAGCAGAGTAGAGGGGCAGGATCACCTCCTTTGACCTGCTGGTCACGCTTCTTTTGATACAGCCCAGGATACGGTTGGCTTTCTGGGCTGCAAGCGCACACTGCCTGCTCATGTCGAGTTTCTCATCAATCACCACCCCCAAATCCTTCTCCTCAGGGCTGCTTTGAATCTCTTCTCCACCCAAATCTTATCTTCCAAGGGGCTACCAAACTGTGTTATCTACCACAGAGCCAAGGTCATCATCTTCCCCATCCTGATACCCTCCTGGAGAAGGTACCCATTATCTCCTCTTTCCCAGAGTGGGATTCTTTCTGTGGATGCCAGCCTTTTTCTCCAGTCACCTGTTTCTCTAACATGGTAAAAATGCAGATGAGACACTCCCCAGGAGCTCAGCTGCAGATGTCTGCTTGGATTTGCTTTCTTCAGGATTTCTCATACAGGTTCTGTACCTGGAAGGTGATCAGGAGCTTTGAAGTCTCCAAGAAGAACAGGGTGCAAATCTCTTCACTTAGGACAAGAACCTCCTCCAAATCATCTGATATCTCCAGTCCAAGTAACCTAAGCACCTGTTCCCCTGCTTCACATTTGTCCTTAGTCTTGTTCTTCTAATGCAGAGATGTCCCGACTTGGGTTTTTGGTGTCCTACAGAGTGCCCCTTAAAAGAGCCAAAGTTTTTCCTTCACACAGCCATGAGGATGCATGTGGTGCAGGGCTATTGGAAAATGAAGCATCTTTGAAATAATTCCTTTCCATCAAATTCAGTCAAAATTTCCCAATGAGTTTTTAGAAATTTCTTTCAGGAATAGGAAAGTGGGTACAAAGACTTCATGAGCAAGGAACTGTTGCATAACTCTTGTTTACATTGCTAAACAGTTAAAATATATTCTCTCACACCTCCTAAAATAGAAACAAAGCAACTAATCTTTTGACTTACAAGTCAAATGAGAGTAGAAAAAAAGAGAATAACCATGCAGCCACACACCAGGCTCAGTGGCATTACATGGAGGATGCTCTGAACACCCTAAATGGAAAATAAGCTTCATCAGGATTTGAGGTGACACTCACTGGGAAAGAGAAAGATACTTTTCATTCCTCATCCACTTGTTTAGTTTCAATACACCTAATAACTCTAAACTGAAAAACACAAAGAAAGTGGTGCTAAGTGCTGTCAGTCTGCCTGACAACCTGGCTCCTTAACTTAATATTCATTTGGAAATTGTCTAATTGATTTTTGATTAAAGGGGAACCAAAATAGGCACATACTAATCTTGCTTTGACGGTCGAGTGGGTGTCATCAAGTTGGTGTTCTGCTCCTTGTCATTTATCGCTGACAAGTTCTGGTTAAAAATCAGGTTTATATGCTGATGTGATATCTACAGGCAGGGGCTTGGGCTACCGCTCTCGCGCCACGCACGGCCTGTGTTCATGTGCTCCAAGACTGCCAAGCCACATCTATTAACTCAAACAACCCCAAAACCATAGGTATTCCACTGGATAATACGAATATTATCAGCTTGAGTCTCCACTTTGTTACAGAGCCTCACTGCAATTCTAGGGCCTTCTCAAACATAGTTGTTTTACTTGCCCACAGAAAAAGCAGACAAAACTTAACCCATCACACATCTATTCTCAGCTAGCAGTAAGCCAGAAGTGTTGTGTTACACGGGAGATGTGTTATCTGGTACAAAGACACATGTTTGCCAAGGTTTTCTGGAAACCACTGAGAGAGATATTTAATCAGTACACACAGTTTCCATCCCCTCTGCTGCTCGAGCAATGCAGCCCATATTTAGCTCACTGAGATACTGCTCTGGAGCGACAGCCATGGATGCGTAGAAAAGACTGAATTTTCTCACGTGGACATTAGTCCTGCAGTGATTGTCCCTGGGACAATCGTCCCCAAGCCAGAGCTTCTTGCAGCACCTCGCAGGAACAAATAACCAGAGCCAGGCGGATAAAATCACTCAGGTCGAGTGATGTGTCTTGGGAAGACATGCACCATATCTCAGACCCGTCTCATTTCTTCTGTCCTAGCCTTCATGCCTGGCATGTTCAGCCTAGTGGAGTAGGAAGGGCAAGCACCACCATGCCTTGGCAAGGCAGAGCTGTACCTGCAGGGCGCAGCACAGGCTGGCTCCTGCTCTGCCTCACCTCCCAGCCCACAGGCAGCCCTGACTGCAGCACTCTGTAAGAGGAGCAAACCAAATCAGCATGCAGCCCAAAAATAGCTGCAGTTTCTAACTGCATTAATGCCTGTGCCGCCTTTTGCCTGGGACACTTCCCTGCACCATATCACAGTTTCACCGATGACTTTTATCTGTGGGTCTTGCTTTTCTGACCTTTAGATAAAAAGCTTGCTTCTCAGCTGGGAAATATGGTTATGTTGTCTTTAAAAGGCACAAAAATTGTTAGGGAAAATACCTATAATTCCAGAGAAAACCTCCTATCGCCCACGCCTTGATTTTTGCTGATTTTTGAGGATTGCTGCTTTATGCAGACGTAGTGTGTGCACGGCTGGGAAGGTGGCAGACATAAATCCATCTCTATCGCCAGGAGTCACTGTGGTGCTGCCTGTGCCTTTACACAGAGCGAAGGGGCCAGTCCTGCTGAGATTGGGCATACTGCCTGCACCCCACTTCATGAGCGAGAGCATGGAGCTCCTCTTGGGAGAAGCTGCCCACACTGGCACAAAGCTGGGAGCACATCTGTGCGTGGGGGCAGCTGTGCAAATGTGTCTCCCCATCTTTCCAAGTGCCGTTTCCTTGCAAGCCTCCCATCTGCCACCCAGGACCGCCCAGCACTGCAGCAGAGCCAGGGGACATATCACCCCTGCCCTGCAGCTCCCAAACTGCTTCACAGTCAAGATTTGGGTAACCCGAGTGCTTGCTCAGCTACCATTCCTTAACGTCTGTATAAGCCCCATGGGATTCACAGGAATATCCTGGTGTCCTTCCTCATTTGCTTTCAGAGCGCTTGCCACACAGTACTGCTTCATCTCTTCTTCCTCACCAGGCAATCATGCCATCACTGTTTTCTCACTCACAAAAGTCATCCAGGTCCTACTGCCACAGCCCCAGAAGACAACAGAAGGAGCAAACAGGTGCTGAAAGGAGTGCTCCTGCTCTCAAGGGGAGAGGATCAGAGCTGGGTTTTAAGGGCTTCCTGCATTGGTCCATGGTAGGAAGTGTGTGCATGTATTTCCCAGATTCAGATTAAAGTCTTGAGAAAAGGCTCTCATTCAGCAAGTCTGCCTCAGGTCCTGCACATCAGGTAGGTGCTCACAGAAGCAGTCTACCTCCCCCAAACCACACCAGCACAAGCACCTGGAGCAGCAGAGCTATGACTCCCCTTAAAACCTAAAGGCCAACAGCGTGAGTCTCTGCAGGATGCTGGTCACCCCCACCATGTCCAATAACATTCACAGAAAATGCCCAGTTCCTGCACCTCTCCATACCGTGAGCACCTTCCCAAGAGCACACAGCCATGTTTTGTTCATGATCATTTGATCACCTGCACCCTGCCTCCATCAGCAGTTGAATCATGGCCACTCATGCAACATCTCTCCCTTTCCTGCAGACATCAGGGGAAGGACATACCTCCAAGGAAGAGCAGAACTCCCAACTTACTGTGCACACTGAGCAGGACAAGGGCGTACTCCAAGAAAGCTCTGAGCAGCACAATCACACTGCATAGCTTGCACTTAATCAGCAGTAAGACCTAAAAATAAAGTAATTCACAGCATCCTCCAGCTTGCCTGGTAACAGCACAGCAGCTTGCATCTCTGCAACTACATCAGGGACATGCGACAGCATGTGTTTCGACCTGAGCTGGTACCCTTGTCCACACAACAGTCTCCTTCCTCACATGTACCTGTAAAAGACTGCATTGCACATAGCTGGGACTCAGCAACAGTGTAAATAAATCACACAGGACCCAAGCACACCAGCACCTTTGAGGTCTTTCCCAATCTGGAAGGTGCTTAAAGCCAGAAAGCAGTCACAGTAAACATTTTACCTAAGGAAGGGGCTCCTCAAAGACCACCTGACCCTAGAAGCTGCTCCAACCCTGCTATGCAGGGAGCCACACTTCCCCCAGGAGACTGGGATTGCTCTGTAAGCCGAGCTCTGCATGGCTTACAACCTTGTCTCAGCTCTTCACCCTCCTGTGGGTGGCAATGCTAAGAGACCCCACCTGGCTTACTACTCAGCTGTCCCTGGGTGGTGAGATGGTGCCTGTCTTGCTGCAGCCTTTCTGATTTTCCAATCAAAATCATCTCATGCCTGACTCAAGGCCTCAGCATGGTTTTTTTAAAGCCAGTATGGTTACAAAGCACTAACCAAATCACATCAAAGACCTTTGTTTTCCCCAGGTGACACTGAGTCAGAGTGGCTTTGCCTAGTCACCAGGAAGCTGCAGAAATCCCAAATGTTCTTTGGACTCCATAAAAAAAAGTCCATGACCTTTATCACACCTTGCCTCTGACAGCTCCCTCGCAAGCTCCTGGCTTTGTAATTTTGAGCTGGTTTTAGCCACTTTTTAATCCTTAGATCCTAGAAGACTGCATTGTGGGAATAACACAAGTGTATTTAAGGCAGATGACGTGTTTCATATTTGAGTTGTGATTATCAACACTTTGCTTCTGGAGGATCAAAAAACCTGAACAAATCCAAGGTCTAAGCAGATTTCTGTAAATGAAAGACTTAGGAAGTTGATTACAACCTGAACTGTGACCCAGATCCTCAGATTTGCCCTTGTGCTGTAACTTGATTTTGATCCAAAAGCCTTTAGCCCCAAAAGCTAGTTACGTTTTTGTGTACTTTGCACTAACACTTTGGGCTCTGCAGCCTAAGCCCAGATGAGCCCACTCCTTAGAAGGCTTCACGGATGTGCCTGAAGCTCAACACAGCAAAATCGCAGCCAAAATGATCTTCACTCCACTGCATCTGCAGACTTTTTTCCCTGTGCAGCAGATGAGACACATTGACCTGGAACCATGCCTGTGCACACAAGCATGTCCTCAGCACAAAAGTGACAGGATGGGGAGCACCTGATCCCATCACATTGGGTTAAGCCAGCTGCCCTGCAGGAGCAGAGGAAAAAGGCAGAGGCACCGCAAATAGACAATGTACAGGCATGACAGCAGGGGAATGAAGCATGTAGGGCCAAATCAGCATGCCCTTGGGCAGCACACATGGTCTGCAAGCCTGCCTATACAAGGTAAAGGCAGACAGCACCTCCCAGATGGGCACTGATGCTGGGAGCTATCAGCCCATCAAGCAGCATTAACTGTGGCAGCTGGCTCTGCCCCCATCTGCCCAGGACACCTTTATCCCCAGGCTGCACTCTCAGACACTGCCATACTACCCAGTTTCAATACTGTACAGCTGACCTTGCCACTGGTTTTCCAGTGGCCTCTTACTGCCTGGCCTCTTACTGAGCATTCACCCATCCTCCCTGACCCTGCAAGGAGGAGAGGCAGCCTGGTGCTCCCCCCAGCCTTGGTACCAGTCCCACATGCCCCCCTCTTCATGTGGGCTGACGCTGTGAGCAAGAAGCTTTGCAGATACTGTGCATGGATCAATGTTTCCCCTCTGACAGCAGCCTCCTGGCACCTCTGGCTTCTCGGAAAGCAGGACACAGCCCTGCAGACCACACAAGCCTTCCCTGGACATTCTTCCCAGCAGCCTGATTTCCCCAGAGAGACAAGTCACAGCCTCCATGGCTTTAATCATTGCTCTGGTTTGGACATCCTTGAGTGCTCTCTGCTTTCAGGAAGGCTTTTCCACAGCCTTTTAAGGCTGCCAAGTCACAGCCCTTTCGCAAAACAGCAGAGCAATGCGAGAAGATGCAAAGGTCAAAGCAAGCTGGAAATGTGGCTCTTCACAAGAGGCTGAAGGAGCTCAGCCTATGGCCTCACCTCTCCTTGTGCAAGAGCAGAAACCTGCTGCTGTGGCACGGAGCCACATATGCATGGTGGCATGGTGCTCCATATAGTATCCCTGCTCCTAACACTGCTGAGACCTGGACACACATCTCTGTGTTCTCCTGCTTTCTGATCAACAGAAGAGACAATGAGCGAGAAAAAATGAGCAAGGAGGAATGGAAAAGATAAAAATATTGACATAAGAGGAGTCAACATTCTCCTGATTGCGTTTTCTCTATTGGCATCTGTCCTGGGTTCAGCTACAGCAGTCATTTTTTCTCCTTCTTAGTAGCTGGTGCAGTGCTGTGTTTTTGACTTTCAGTCTGGGAACAATGCTGATAACACCGATGTTTTTAGTTGTTGCTCAGTAATGTTTACTCTGACCAAGGACTTTCTCAGTCTCATGCTTTGCCAGAGAGGAGGGGAAGCCAGGAGGAAGCAGAGGCAGGACACCTGACCCAAACTGGCCAAAGGGGTATTCCATACCACAGCACATCATGCCCTGTATGTAAACTGGGGGGAGTTACCCGGAAGGCCCAGATCACTGCTCAGGTCGGGCTGGGTATCGGTCGGCGGGTGGTGAGCGGTTGTGTCCTTTTCCCTTGTTATTCCTCTTATCATCATTATTGGTAGCAGCAGTGGTTTGTATTATACCTTAGTTACTGGAGTGCTGTTATCTCAACCCGTGGGAGTTACATTCCTTCGATTCTCCTCCCCATCCCTCCGGGAGTGGGGGGAGGAAGGAAGAGGCGGGGGGAGTGAGCGAGCAGCTGCGTGGTTCCAAGTTGCCGGCTGGGCTTAAACCACGACAGCATCTCATCAGTCGCACAGTCAAGCTTTCTTGTTGTTACATTTACGTGTTTTTTAAAAGGTTCCCAAGACCATCAGAAGGACCTTTTGCTCTGAGACAGGACCCTTGATGCAGGCTGGCACATGGACCTTACCTCCCATGAGCATACGCATGGCAGTCTGCAACCCAACCCCCCCACCATTCAGCCTGTTATTTTACAAGAGACAGCTTGCTTCTGAGGACAGGAAGCCTTCAGTACTTCCCAACATCCTTTCCCATCAAATACCCATATAGGCCAGAATCAAGAAAGTGACAAAACCACCTACCACCTTACCTAAGCAACCAAAAGGCACCTCCACAGTGAGGCCAAAAATCCCAGCTTTTTGAGCATCTTACAGTGCTGCAGACTATCCCTTTCTCTGCAGAGGGGATGTGGGAACCTCAGTCATAAATGAGTGTACAGTCAGTTTTCCAGGCAAGTTTATTCCAAGTTTGGTTCTCCACAGGCTAATTGAAAGAATAACAATCTGTTTGAAAAAAATTAAAATCTTTTCAACAGCTGAGAAATATTTCCATACGCAACATGTAATCATTGTGCAAATCAAGAGCATTAATGGAGAAACAAGCGAGCCCTTGGACAATCAGGCACACATTGCATGTTGTAGGATTTGAGAAATGGGCTTTTGCCACCCAGCCTCCAATATCAAAGCTCTGAGCTGGCTGCATGCTGTGACTGTATGGGCACCAGCGCCGTGCTGGGGAGCCAAGTCTGGCAGGACAGTAATACCCCAACAGTGGCACTGCTTTGGAGACAGGAAGTGCTTGTATGCCTTGCAGATGCAGCCTGCCACAACAGAGTTTGTCCTTTCCAGGAGGAACCAGTCCCTGCAGTCTCTTTGATGTCAGTGAGCTTTTTCAGGTGAGTCAGGACTACTCACATTAGCAGTTTTGTGGAATTGTGCTCCTTACAACCATTCCTTGTGGAAACATCTTCTGTGTTCCCCAAAAGAAGTCCTTCAGGTCCCAGCAGGCTGGCCTGAGTGTGCCTTTAACAGATCAGAAGAATAACGAGCCATTGCCTAGCCATCTTATTTTCTGGCTGTTGTGTTTCAGAAAAGAGAGGATTCATGTCTTTCTAGGGGTAGATGAGCAGCTCATCAGTGCAAGCTATAGGGAATATTTGCCCTAGCAAGGAGCCTGAACTCTTTTTCCTTTATTGGAGCCCCATGTCATCTGGCAAGGCCCAAGCTCTTCTCCTGCCTCCCAGACATATCAGGTTTATGGGGGCTGCCCCACATCTCCCTGTTCTCCATAACTACCAGGGCCTTGGATCTGCACCTTACAGATGCAGATAAGCCCAGAGGAACGGAGTAGTCAAGGGGGACCTGGGCTGGCATTCAACTTGATTCTTCTCCAAAGCCTGTTACACCAAACAGTTCCAAAGCATGTAAGTTTCTTAGCTTAAGTCCTCCATACTCTGTCCCTGCATGTGGTCTCTCCCATCTCCTTGCACACTTTCTTCAACTATTTTGCAGATAAAGAAATAGGAAATAAAATGAGGCAGTGATGATGGGATTGGACATGTGACAGGAGGCAATGACATCCTACAGAAAAGGGTACTGAATGTCTGCAAAGTGACTGTATTCAGGATTCTGGCGTAAACTGTTGTAAACATAAATGGTAAGTGCTGGAAAAAGCTTCAAGAAATACTCAGCATGGTCTCCTATTTTGTTCCTGATCCTGAAAGAAAGCAAACCCAAAAAGGATTTTTAAAGCTTGCCCAAAGACTCAAATATCCAGGATACTCTGGTTCCTCCCTTGCAGAAGGAAAAACAAACAAACAAACAAAAAACAACAACAACAACAAAAACCCACAACCACAAAAAAAAAAAATAAACCAACAAAACCCATGAAAACAAAACCAAAACAAACCAAAATAAAGTACCAACCAAACACAATATAGAATCATAGAATAGTTAGGGTTGGAAAGGACCTTAAGATCATCTAGTTCCAACCTCCCTGCCATGAGCAGGGACACCACACACTAAACTATGCTGCCCAAGGCTCTGTCCAACCTGGCCTTGAACACCACCAGGGCTGGAGCATTCACAACTTCCTTGGGTAATCCATTCCAGTGCCTCACCACCCTCACTGTAAAGAACTTCTTCCTTATATCTAATCTAAACTTCTCCTGTTTAAGTTTAAAGCCATTACCCCTTGTCCTACCACTATAGTGCCTAACAAAGAGTCCCTCCCCAACATCCTTGTGGCCCCCCTTCAGATACTGGAAGGCTGCTGTGAGATCTCCACACAGTCTTCTCTTCTCCAGGCTGAACAGCCCCAACTTTCTCAACCTGTCTTCATAAGGGAGGTGTTCTTCCAGAAGCTTTCTGATAACACAGGAAGGTTTCCTATAAATACTTGAGCTGCAACTTTTCTATACCTTCCCTAAGCTACTCCATATTTTCCACTATTCCTCCAGCACCTCCATCTACCTGATCCTATCTGCATCTTCACTGAAGAGCAGTGGTGGCCACCAGCCTCAGTGAAACCACCACTAGGAGCAAACACCACCTCTAACCTCATGTGTAAGCACTCATGACTATAGAGGGTTGGAGACTAGCAGCTTTTTAGGAGTCAAGACCTCTTAATGGATCTTTTAACAGGACCTGTGCTGTTATGTGATCCATATCTCAATGCACTTCAGCACAGTAAACATCAGCACTTTGGAAATACTAGCAAGGTAGATAAGGAATAAAGGAAAATACAAATATTTAAGAGGGATCTAAAAACCTTTCTGGAGTTATGGCAAGAAACACCAGCCTGCAGCAAAAATAACAGTCCAGAAGACACATTCATGATGTCCTCTGCTGTAGAGCCACAACCTGCCTTAGTTGCCACAAACACCTCTCCACCCCACAGGCTGCTCTGCAAAGGCAAGGGTGCAGAGGAAGTCCCATCAACTCTCTGAAGCTGCTCCCTCTCTTCTGCCATCCCTCTGGAGCAGAAGGTTCTGGTGGAGGATGTTCATCTGTGGGAGATGATCTGGGAGTCAGATTTTGGTTAAAAATCTGAGATCTAATCCTGTGAGCTAACTTCCTTTTCTTACCCTCTGGAAGGTGATATTGGGGACTGACTCCAGATTGCTTACTGCAGTGACACATGATCTCTCACACGCTAGTGTGTTGCCAGAAGAGATAGCCCCTCTAACGAGATGGTCTTTAATGGACTTTCTCCCACATCCAGTTATGTTCACCCTTCTGGAAAACCATCTGAAGAATTTTTTCTCAAACTTACTGACATAGGCAGATACCCAGATGCTCCCTGCAATGCAACTGTGGCAGGGACAAGGATGTGAACATTACCTGATATCTGGATGTTCATCCAGGTTTCTGATGAACCTAAGTAGGTCAGTGACATTGTTGCTGTATCTGAATGATCTTCCTTTCCTGGGATTTTCCATGATGTTCAGAACATCTTTGTTAATCTGAAAAAAAAAAAAAAAAAAAAGAAAAAAGCACATAGATGATTCTCTGCCTTTCACACACCACAAAAGCAGCACATCTACCTCCACTCACCACACCTACTGCCTTTCTGCAGATACATCATCTTGCATGAGTAAATCTTGTGACCCTTAAAAGCATATTCCCCAACATGAGCAGAAGAGTTCACTCTGCAAGGCATGTGCCACACAGACCCCCCTGATTCTGCTGTTTCCTATCTGTGGCATTTACACTAGGATGTCAACATGGAACAGGAGATTTTCACACATGCCTGGAGGGCAGGGAGGACTTGCGAGTCTTGATCCAATTGTGCCACTGGTGAAAGGACCACATGGGCTGCTGTTATTGAGCCAAGACTGTCACACCTCAAACAGTGCAGCATGTCTTTCCAAGATGCTCTGTGCAAAAGCAGGTCTGGTCTCACTGCTTTTGAGCCACGCTAACAAAACATATTTGCCAGGAATTTTCTGGCAATAAGGGCCAAAGATCACCAAGAAACACCCTTGAAAGTTTGCCAGCTAATTCTATAATGACCATCCCCTACTACCACCCCAGTCAACACAGCTCCCTTTACCACCAGTGTTTTTAATCTTGAGTATTCTATGTGGCTTAAATTTAATTGTTTCCCTCAGTTATCTGTATTTGCTACTTTTGGAGATACTTTTTCCAGTTAAAGTTTTAAATGGGGCCTGTGAAACACTCAGGAAAAGCTTCTGCCTAAATGTTTAGCTCAAACCTTGTACTAATTCAAAGAGAAGAGGATTACCTCCTTGGTCCAGCATGGATAAGGAAAACTTTCTGTAGCATTAGGAGCTTGAAAGACAGCTTTCTGATTGCGGAGATCTTTGATTTTATTCCATATAGTCTTCAGGAAATTGAACCTGCTGTGGAATGAGATGATTCGTTAGCTGCAACAGGACATTGCTGTTCCCAGCACTACAGGCAAATTTCTACTGAAAGCTTTTCCTTTGTACTCCCGGGACTTACATCTGTTTGCTCCAGAAATAGGGATGTTTGCTCAAACCTTCCAAGCCTCGTTCATCATGAGACATCAGGCTACTTACGAGATCCAGAGCCTCCATGTAATCTGGGGAATCAGCACCTAAATCTTTGGCACTGACTTGCTGAAGGGGTTTCCTACCCCCTGTTAAAACATACAGCACAAGACTGCTGAGGGCCTGCAAAAAAACACATCACTGCTCACATGCCAGATGCATGAAACTTCTTACCAAATGGAAGAGGACTATTATTCCCAAATAAGCATGTGTGTGTTCACTGTATACGTGAACACACACACATGCACCTATAGATGTGCAGAAGTATGCAAATACATAGAAACACAAACTTTGAAGCTGAGTGCACAAAGACAGAGGATACAGGCACCGTAATCATGTTTAGAGGGTTCTCTGGATATCCCAGCACCAGCCATAGCCTTGCATCCTGGCCACTATCATTCTTATGCAGTGCTTTGGGCTTTCCCAAAAATCAAGGTGTTTTCTAGCTGAGGATGCAGAAAGGCTTCCCCTTAGGATTCATAGCAACAGAAAATATTAGAGAACACCTGACATTTTAAAGCATCCATTGATTCGCAGAGAAGTTACCTCTAAATCTGTGTTTACAAGTTCTATTTTGTCTTCAATCAACTTCCTTTTATTGTCAAAGTCTGCAAGGTAAATTTTGCCACCTAAATCTAAGGAAATAAGAGAAATTGTTAATAAATAGTGGTGGAAAACGTAACAGTATTTCACTGACTTCTGGATGGCCCGTTCTTTAGAAAACGATTCTCTGAAGAGATCTGCTGTGGGTTAATCTGATTGCAAAGGCCTGAAAAGGAGGACAAATCTACTGAGACATGTAAAGTTCTGTTCATTCTGTGGCTGTCTGCAAACATATCTATACTCACTCAAAGAGAAGAACTAATGCCACAGACACCCCATTCAGCATAAAGACATCTGGTTTTTTACAGACAGCTATGAAGCATCTTCTTCTCTGAACTACAGATATCAAGAAAGAAAAATGGAAACACTGAGAAAGCAAAGCATAACCTATTAAAAATTTGCTGGGATGCAGATCCTGGTGAGCAAATCCAAGGGAGTGCAGCTCTCTCACTGCCTGGAAGATCATCCTCAGAGCACCTTTGCAATCCATTTGGCCTTCTGGTTCCTGCAGATATTCTTCAAGATTTTTCTCCCAGAGTGGGAAGCATAAGTACATGTAGCCTTTTGCTTTCTCAAACTGGAAGAGCTTCAGTAGATGTTCACAGTTAATACATTGTTCAAAGAACCTTTTCTCTTTGTCGCCCTCTGTACTGCGGCTTATTCTTACTGCTACCTCTGTCCCGCTATGGAGCCCCAGGTAGATGCCACCTTGAGAAGTGTTCTGAATTCTCTGCTGGATATATTGAAATGTCTTCAGTTTGCCAATCATAGGGCGATATATTTTATATAGTTTTTTCAGCTGATCCCTCCAGCATTTGCTCTTTGGCTCCCAATCTTTGAAGGCTTGTGGAACAAACTTGGCATCATACTGGCGAAGAAGACGTGCCATGTTAGGAGCACGGTTCCTATTAGCAACAGCGATAAGGTCCCCAACATCAGTCCTTGCTCCTTTTTCACACAACAACTTCGCTATATTATAATCATTTTTCTCTACAGCCACCACCAGTGCTGTGTTGCCCTCCTCATCTGCATCATCAATATCTATTTTGTCCTTCTCCAATAAAGCTTTTACCAAATCTGGGCTCTGCATTTCAACAGCTAGGATGAGGGCAGTTTTCCCACATTCATCTTTGCTGTTCACATCAACACCATGGTCCAGCAGGAAATGGCCAATGGGGACAGCTGACTTGTATCTTTCCTTGGCACAGCCCTCCTTGAGAGCATGGATCAAGGCATTACACAAATGTTCATGTTAGCCCCCATTTCTTGGACAAGAGTTTTTACAACTGAGAAGTGGCCCTTCCTACAAGCATCCATCAGTGCTGTCACTCCTCCTTTATGCAGTTTCGCTTTCTCTTCACTAACTACCCTTCTCAAATTCACATTTGCTCCTTTGCTATAAAGGAATTTCAAAGCTTCTTCCTTCCCATACCATGCAGCCTCCATGAAAGCTGTGAAGCCGTTGTCATCATAGTCATTAATATTTAACCCATGATCAAGGAGTAGCTCCAGTATATTCACATTTCCTGCTATTGCTGCCTCCGTAAATGCAGTGCCACCATTGTCCTTCCTGGCATGTGGACAAGCACCCTTGTCCAGCAGAAGCCGGACCAGGTCCTCTTCATTAGCTTGCACAGCACTCTGCAGTGGTGTCCAGCCACTTTCTGCTTTGGAATTCACATCTGCCCCTTTCTCCAGCAGCTCCAGCACATCTTTTATATCACCGCCTCTCACAGCAGCATTTAACTTGAAGGCAAGGTCTTCTGCTGTCTCTTTGCTGGAAGGGGTCAATGCCTCCTGCTGGCTGTGAGCTGTGGGCTCCATGGTGGTCAGAGGGAGGGCTCTATACCTCTGATGTTTCTCACCTGAGCCCAGGCATCCCACTGAAGGATGGGTCTGGTGCAATGCTCAGTGCTTTCATCATGGTGGATGCTCTGGGTTTGGCTGAAGAAGTACACTGCATAGGATAGGCTGCTATTTCAAGGACTTCGTGGATTCAAGCTAATTAGTAAACAGAAAAGTTTGTTTTATTAGATTGTGAAATCTCACCATTTACATTTGATGTCTTGCAGGTCTATATGAGAAGCAACTAAGGACAGCAATGCTAAGTGCCAGCCAAAAGAGCTATGTATTGGTGAGAAACACCACTTTAGCACTTACCCAGACGTAAGTACTTATCATGCTTGCTTGCCTGGTCTCAGCACTAATTGCAGCCCAAGCAGACATCCCTTGGGATGCCTGGGTGAAGGGATAGGGGAGAACCCAGGGTTTTCTTGCTATAGATGCTATTTCAGAGTTATTACAGGTTACCTAACAAATCATCACCCAGTGATGTTTTCAGGTAGAGAACACAGCAGACAGGGAGAGATGGGCATTCCCCTTCAGTTTTGGATGGCAGACACACACAGAGTCCTGGAGAGTCTCTGATCTGATACCTGGAATGAGACAGAAAGCCAACATTAATCCTTCCTGCTTCTGTAGGCAGTTAAGAGACCCTATATGACCAGAAGCCTTTCCTAAGCTTTTCATGACATTAAGAGGTTAGTCAGGTAGGACCTGATCTTTTTCTATCTATCTATTTAGTATCTAGAAGAGCTGAAACTCCAAAACCCGTTTTCCTGACTGCAAAGGCTGGTCCAAGCAATCAGCACTTCCAGGAGTCACTGTCGACAAGCTGAACTGGAAATAAATTATCTAAGCCGATCAGAAAAGGGACAGAGAAGTCCTAAGGTATAAAGCCAAAGTATAAATTCACACGGATTTACCCTCAGAAAATACAAGGACCATTTTATGGATGGTTTCCCCTCTGGCCAGCAGAAAATGAATACCCTATTGCATTGATATAGATGCATTTCATTTCCATGACGTAACTTCTATGCCTTTTGCCACATTTAAAAAAAAAAAAAAAAAAAAAAAAAAAAAAAAGAAGAAGAAAAAAGAAAGAAAAGAAAAGAAAAGAAAAGAAAAGAAAAAGAAAAAGGGAAAGAAAAAGAAAGGAAAAGAAAAAGAAAAAGAAAAGAAAGGAAAAAAAAAAGAAAAGAAAGTTACTTTCCTGGGGAGAAAAGCAGCACAACATCCCCTGGGCACGGTGGGGCTCGAATTCCTCACCTCTGTTGGAAGGCAGGGGCTGAGCACCTTCCTTCTCCTCTGCCGAGCCACAGTTGCCCTACCCTGCGAAATACTTAAACGTTTCTATCCCGCCCCACTGACTTTTGGCCAGGACCTGTTTGCACTTGCACATCGCAGGCGCCAGCTGACATGCAGTCATGTAATGCTGTCCAGCATCACACCCCACTACTCACCACGGAAAGGTGAGGAAGGGAACCTCTGCCCAGCCAGAAGCCCAGCCATTGGTTAAAATGACTTCAAAGCTAAGGAGCAGCTTTTTTCAGCAGCTGCTTTTCACTTCTGTTTCCCAGCAAGTATCCCCAGATAGTATTTCATTCCCAGCAAAGTCTGCAAGTATACGCTGTCCATTCCCCCAGCAAGGAGCAGCCCTGAGAGTATTTTATCCACTTACAGGAGGGTGCTGGGTTTTTAGAGGGTGTTCAGCAACAATTTTCAGCACACAGCAGAGCAGTCATGAGCAAGTGCTCTCCCCATACAGTCCCACACACATAGATCCTGTTTACAAACCTATGCTCAGCAGTAGTTCAGGAGCTGAAGGTTTAGACATTAAATGAACCAGAGCTGGGGTTTTGGGGAAGGGAGAGTGTCCTGGATTCAGCTGTAACAGTCATTTTTCTCCTTCTTAGTAGCTGGTGCAGTGCTGTGTTTTCTACCTTAGTCTGAGAGCAATGCTGGCAACACACCAACGTTTTAGCTGTTGCTAAGTAATGCTTACCCCAATTAAGGACTTTTCAGTCTCATGCTGTGCCAGTGAGGAGGGGCACAAGAAGGCAGGAGGAGGCAGGGACAGGACATTTGACCCAAACTAGCCAAAGGGGTTCCATACCACAACACATCATGCCCAGTACATAAACTGGGGGGAGTTACCCGGAAGGCCCAGATCACTGCTCAGGCTGGGCATCAGTCAGCAGCTGGTGAGCAATTGTAATGTGAATCACTTGTGTTTATTGTTTTCTTTTGCCCTTTAAGTTTTATATTCTCTTCCCTTGTTATTTCCCTTATCATTATTATTATTAGTGGTAGCAGTAGTAGTAGTTTTGTTAGTTACTGGACTGGTCTTATCTCAACCCATGGGATTTTACACTCTTTTTCGATTCTCCTCCCCATCCCTCCAGGAGCCGAGGGGAGGAAGAAGGGGGGGAGTGACCGAGCAGCTCTGAGTTACCAGCTGGGGTTAAACTATGACAGAGGGAGAGGCAGGAGTTTTAGGGTTTTCTTTCAGATGCAGGAGTTTGGGTTAGGGTTTTACTTTGTTTTAAGCATTTCCTCACCTTTTGGTAAATCCATCCACATGAAGAAACTTGCCATGCTGCTAAATTTCACCCAGGGAACCACTGAGCTCCAGGTCCGTTTATGCCACAGCTGGTATGTTCCGACCGTACCCACATTGGCAAGCAGGCAGTTCCATGCTGCCCAGGCACTGTACTCCTTGTAGGCAGCTCTGTGTAAACACAGTACTGACTAAGGAAGCCCAGTCTTCCAGCCTTGCATGCAAAGCGTGTTCAGGAAATACGTAACGGAAGCCAGGCTGTGACATGCCCACCCACTTTCCCCCACTGCCTTCTCATGTGAGATAAGCTCAGCATGCAGAGCTCATGCAGCCTCCGCAGCCTCCTCCACCCAACTGTGCCAGATGCAAGATTCATATCACGCTTGAAACAGGGCTGAAATCGTATCAATGAATTCATGCCTGGCTTTCCACGATACGCTGGCAATATTGGTTGTGTTTGAAGGAACAAAGGATAACAATCAGGATTGGTAGCACCAAAAGATGAGTTATCTGACAGCTTGGCAAAGTGACCATTCAGCTACCTAACTTGGCAAAAGAGCTAATTTTTAAGGTGTCCTAAAGTCAACTAGCTTCACTGTAATACTTAAAATCACAGCACAGGTCAAAAAGACCCTCGGCCAAGTGAAGACCCCTCGTCTGAGCATGGGTGGTGGTTAAAAGGAATGACACAGCAGATACTACATGTAGATTACAACCAATCGTTGTAATTGGGAGTGTACTACCTTGTAACTTTTGCGTATAACTGTAACAAAGAGGGCTAGCATCCCTGCACTTGATTTGTGGAACAGTCCACCAAGTATTGTGGCCTGAATAAACACTGTATCTCTTCCAAGAGTGTGGAATTGGTTTACTGTACACCAGGCAAGAATCTGCTTTTTGGACAACATTAGTGCATGCACAAACTGGCATCCACATATGTACACAGAGAGATGGCTGGATACAAACGCAAGGGCACAAATGCAGGAACACAGCCTAAAAGGGTGCAGGGATGCAGTCCTCCACATGTTTTACAAGCATATCCAAATCTTCATGTACACCTACATTGCTTGCTCACATCTGCATGCCAGCTTTCACAAAAGCTCTGCCTATGCATGAGTCACATAGTCTTTGTACCTAACCATCATATTGTATAACCTGCTCTCCACAGCATGCAGCGCATCAGCAAGGTCTAGGAACATTTGCATCCCACAGTCTCTGGATGGAACTTCATAAAGTATGTGTTACCACAGGAGACCTTGACACAGCCCCACAGAGACAAAGATCATGAAAACTTGGGGAACAATCTCAAATCACTTTCAAGACTATCAAAACGCCATTTTAATTCACAGAAATTTGCTGAACTAGATAGCACCTCTCCCGGGTCAACCAGAGCCTGGGCTCTGGCTGCCAGTGTTTAATCACCCGCCACCGTTTGCAGGCTGTAAAAGAGACAAACCATCAGAGCAGGGGCACATCACAGGTTCAGAGCCAACAATAGAGATGTCCAAAAAAAATAAAATAAAATAAAATCAACATTATGATACACAACAATACCACATCACCCAGCCAAAAAGTACAAAAGCCTTCTTCAGCTTGCCGATTTAATTGAAGTAGTTCATTATTTTATGGTGGGATGATGAGAAACTCTAGAATGGTAGGAAACCAAGTTCTAGGATGCTGAGAACAAGGTTTTTGCAACCAGCAGAAGTATCCTGTGCCTCTACACCAGCAAGAAGGATTTGCTGGTAATGCTTTCCCTCTCTCTCATGCCTGATCCAAATTGCTTTCCATAGAGTCATAAGTTTAAACTCCTAGTCCCTGCAACAGACAGCTTATGAGGAATAGAAGGGCCTTGGAGAGTTTCTAGGAGTGACAGAGCTCCTCTCCACAACCATTCCCGTAGCCCCGGGGTTTGTAGCTCCTGCTCTATTTACCCTTCTGCAGAGTCCTTATTTACTGCCCCGTACACAGGGACCCAGAAGACAAGCTGCTGAAACACAGTCAACAGGGACATCAAGGGTGCAATTAAGCAATTCTTTTCCTCCATCCTGATGGAGCTACACCCATTTTGCAACCCTTTCCCTTAGATAACATCTCTGAGCATTCATGCCCTGACCACCAGCCACAGAGGTAAAACACAGCAACAAGAACTGCCTGCCAAAGTCAAAATAATTTTAAAAGTAGCTATAAATAGTAGGATAGCTTTTTAGTTCATGTTCCCTGTATTTGCTTCCTAATTTTCTTTCCAAAAGGGAATATCCCAGGGTTTATAGATTTGGCCACACTGATGTGACTTTCAGTGCTGGAACACAGCCCTGAAAAATAGTCCACAGACAGATGCAATTTAAACACTGACAGGTGATGTAGTCCACACAGGAGCATCAACACATTTCAATTTACCATGGAGTATTTTTACATTCTTAAT